CCGCCGCCACCATAGCCATCACCGACTTCCAGTGCAAACGCGTTGTCGAAGTTGTGCGGCTGTTCGATCTTCAGATGACCAGCCAAAGCAGCAAAGCCAGAGAAGACGATGAAGAGTAGAATGAAAACCTTGAACACGCCGAGAACACTGAAGAGGCGGATGCCCCATTTCGGTAACGTGGCATGGAGCACAACCGAGAAAGTGACACAAGCAACGGCTATGCCACGCGCCGCCCAGCCATCCGGTGCTTCCGAACCAGCTGCGAACAGTACGTAGCGACCGAAAGCGAGCGAGTTACCGGAAGAAAATCCGAGCAACAACATTTGCGCAGCAAGAACGCATGTCGCAACGTATTTAGGGTGACGGTAGACGCGCTCCAGATAGTTCTTCTCGCCACCTGAACGTGGGATTGCGAGACCGAATTCCAGAAACACGGATAGCCCACAGAATGTGAGAATGCCACCAATGATCCACAGGAAGAGTGACACCCCAACCGATCCCGTTGCTGCGAAGATACCGGAAGGAGTCGAGAAGACTGTTACAAGTAAGCAGCCATCCGAGCGTATGAGCATGAAGAATACGTACTACCAGTGCCGATCATCTTGTTCAGGATGACAAAGACTGTGGCCGTGTAGCCCAGCTTCTGGGAATCGTCGTAAACATAGGCATTGTCTTCCTGCACGCTGCCATCTTCATAAACCGGTGGGGAAGGCGAGGTTTCATCGTTGGTGTAACGCGCGACCTTTGCGTCGTCGTCAGCGATCGCGGCCATACTTGGGCTTTGCTAGGAGCACCAGTAGTACCGATATCTCGCGTCAAGTTGGTGATCAGAATACAGCCGAAGCGGTCGCTACGAATGGTTTGCGCAGAAGATAGACGGTTACGCGGTGGCCGGGATCTTGTAGGGTCATATAGCCGTGTGCAATTGCGCGATAACATGGTTGTAGCATGCCACGCGAATTAAATTGCGAATGCACTCCTTCCATGTCGCGATCAGCAAGCGCTGCAACATTGCGAGGCTTGAGTTGCTTGTGGTGTCCAAAGGTGGTCGCTCCCAAGAACCCTGAAGAGGAAGGTGAAGCATGTCGCTGGTTGGAATCTCTTGGAACATCCTCTCAACGATGCGCAGAAAAGGCAAGGGCGATGTCGTGATCGCTGGGCATTATTAGCCTACCACCAACGACTTGGCGTGTACTGATAGCCTTGTAATGCATTCCAGGGCGCCTCATGTCCGTCTTATGAAGATCTGGGGGTCTTGTAGAGTAAGGAACCGTTGTCATGGGTGTTCGTGGCGCGAAAGGGACAGTCCCGAGGTCTCTAGGGAGCGGTGTCGCTCGAATATCGTTATTACCTAGGTAATTCACATGGTCAAATGCGCACGCCGCGGCGAGGGCTTCAGGTAGTTAGCTGACGAGAGTGAATAGAGCTTGACGTGTAGTCGAGGGTTGAAAGCAGCTGGGGATGTCTCCGCGTGTCTTGTGCCAAACCTCGGAACTCCCGGCGACGTAATTTCCGGTTTGGCGCCGGCAATAGAGGGGGCTCACGAGCTGGCACTTTTTCAACACCACAGGCGGCTGGCTCCTTCTACAACCTCAGCTCAAACCCCATATACGCAGTAACGCACCAGAGGCCTCGATGCTGAACAACTTCAAATGGACGTCTTCGTCGCAACTACCTAGGCACAACATTGACTGGACTCCTGCTAGCGGTGTCTTAGCTGGAACAAAACCATCATCGCACCACTTTGAAGCGCTTGCGAGGCAGCTCAGCTTCGACATTGATGCAAGCACTAATTTCTACTATCCTAGAAATCATTGCAGTTTTATCTTAGGCCGTCTTTAGCCCACAATCTTACGCGTCATTACGTCACATAAACAAGCCTCAGTAAGCTCTGTGCCGAAGCTTGACCAACGCCACGGAAGCCTCACAGACAGCACGGAACATGCCTACTCAACGGCGTTTGACCATAGCTCGTTGCTCGCCCTCCGCTTCGGTTTGTCGGCTCTTCTGGCGATGTGAGATCATCTCCGAGGCTTGTTAGTGATCGGCTTAATTGGTGGATAATTTCCTCCATCTTCCCCACGTTCTCCGGATCTCTCTGGGTGGATACTCCCCGCGCTCAGTATACCTGGTAATGATGCTGATTGGAGGCATTGGACGGATAATTGATACTAGAAGTGCACTTGCGGCTGATGATGGTGCTCAGGGCACAACGGTAACCGGGCATTGCGGATGTCTTGAGCCACATGGGAATCCCAACCCCAGAAGTGCGGATACGATGAGTTGATATAAAGCGCAGGCCAAGCCTCAGTCCGCCAAAACGGTGCACATCCTTTTTCGGGCCGTGCGGAAACTTCAGCCTCTCACCATGCATTGGACTACACTACTTCTTGGCCTGTTCGAGGCATGCGCTGCTGTATCGACTGTCAACCGCAAAGCGTGCCAGTATCCGACAAAGAAGCCACTGGACGGTTGCCCTCAGAACACGATCCTGGTTGGTCCCGGCCACAACTTCTCTACAATCCAGTCGGCAGTACTCAGCTTGCCGAATGACACAACACCTCATCACATCTTGGTCCTTCCTGGAAACTATACTGAGCAAGTAAACGTCACTCGGCCAGGTCCTGTTTACCTTTTTGGTCAAACAAAAGCGCCCAACGATCAAAGCAAGAACACTGTCAATGTGATATGGCGTAATGCAACTGGAGCTGGGCTATCAACATTGGACAACGCCTATACTTCCGTCCTCACCGTTGCGCCAACCTTCAACGCGAGTAAGACTGGCACAGGGCCTACCGGCGACCCCGTACCTGCAGGTACACCATTCGGAAACACCGACTTCCGCGCATACAACATCGACTTCAGCAACCTGTATGCGCCCTACTCAGCCGGTCCAGCTCTGGCAGTCTCAGTGAGCTACGCAAACACTGGCTTCTACTACTGCGGATTCTACTCGTACCAGGACACCGTGTACGTCGGCAAATTAGGCAACGCATACTTCTACAAGAACGAGATAGCAGGACAAACCGACTTCTTCTACGGTTTCGGCACGGCGTGGATCCAATCCAGTCTCGTTTCCCTTCGCAACTGCGGCGGCGGCATCACAGCATGGAAGGGCACCAACACAACCTTTGTCAACAAATACGGCGTCTACATCCATGACTCCGACGTGAAGAAGGCCAATTCTTCTCTCTCCATCACCGGTCAGTGCGCACTAGGCCGCCCTTGGAACGCTCAACATCGCTCCATCTTCGCAAACTGCTATCTTGATGATTCGATCCAGCCCAACGGGTACATCAAGTGGGGCACTACGGATCCAAGGGTGAACTTCAACACTACGATGGCAGAGTACAAGGACTACGGGCCTGGGTGGAATGAGACTGCGCGACTGGCGAGCAATGTTAGCATTGTTATGGATCGGAAGCAGTATGAGCCGTATTCGACGCTGGATAAGGTATTTCAGTATCCGTTTTCGGGGGATTTTGGGAATACGGCATGGATTGATAGACATCCTGAGAGGTGAAGTGGATGGTAAAGAGTTCGACAACGCAACTTAATATACTATCGTTGCTCTTTTGTAATCTCTGCTATCTACAGACACCAGTTTCATGATACCCATACCATGTAAAGCGCCCACAGATGCTTATCCACATCACTCTTACTACACAAAGTTGGGTCTTGGTGGGCCTCAACCTCCACGATCCTGAGCAAGGTCGTCGTTTCGTTTCGCTGAAATTACAATACTTGTCAATGTCGTCCTGATGGAATTGCAAGCCAATACAACATCGTCCCGCATTGAGTACCTAGTCAAGTAAGCGACGAACATCCATCGGCTCGGTTGCGCGAACTTACATTTCATACTAGCACAGCCGCTGTTCTTTTCTATTCTCGTACCCCAGCCAGGGCAGGGCTTGGTTCGCCACCTGATGGTCCACAAAGACTTGTCTTCCTCCTCGACACGGTCTTTGATGCGGTATTGGTAGGCTTCGCACGACTCACCTTTATGGTACGGTCGATCGCAAGGCACGCAGGCGAGTGCTCCACACCTGTGACATTTACATATGTCTTCTTGCCCATCCTCCTTCTCTGGATTGCTGTCGTGGAGTTGTCCGGCACTGCAATTTCGAGATAGACACCAGCGCCATTTTTCATCGTGGTTTCGCTCTAATTGTTCGAACTTCGCATACATGGCTTTGGTGGTGGCGATTTCGATGTTGACAGCTCTCATTATAGCTGTACACTCCGGACACTCTATTCCCAATGAAGCCCTTCGGTCGGTGGTAATCTTGGTTTGCGCGTTGTTGATGCAAGTGTCTACATACTTTTCGAGACACTCTTTACACGTGTTTATGCGATGGTTGTCGTCGCATTCAGCGGAAGGGTTGTAGTTTGGGAAGTTCTTGGCGAGTCTATTCCTACCACATGTCGTACAGTCGTAGCGGACGCGTGGCATTTGCTTCTGTCTTTTTACTGGTGCTGATGGTGGGTGGTCTACTTGAGATCGTCGTGTGAGAATGGATTGGTATCAAACTGAAAGCTTTTAATCTCCAGATATGACATCTACTAGAAGGAAAAAGAATAATCAAACGTTTTCATGGACTATGCAGCGAGTCTTCTATCTTCTCGCTGCCTCTCACCCAGTCTTCGCAGCACTATCATACTCCCTCCAAATCAGCCCCTCAGGCAAAACCCTCCACTGCCCCTCCGCATCCAACAACCCCCCCATCTTCGCCCACTCCTCCCTCACAACCCCCGCCCTCCCCCCATCCCTCGGCACAATCCTCGCCGGAAAAGCCCTCGGCTGCACCAACATACCCTCCGTCAAATCATCCATATCAGGCATAACCACACCCCCCTTCCCATCACTCGCGGGATGAAACTCAAACGCCCACAATAACCGCGCAATAGCCAAAAACAGCGACCGCTCCGCAATATGCATACCCTGACACAACCGCCTCCCCGCCCCAAAAAGAAAATGATCCCGCTCCGCCGCATCAGCATTACACGCCGCTTCCGCCGCCGTCTGCGCATCCCCAAAATATCTTTGTGGATCAAATCTCCGCGGATCAGGATGGCGTGCCGGATCGTTATGGATGGCCCAAACGTTCCACAGCACACCCGCGCCTTTGGGGATCTTGTATCCCATGTACTCGTCGTCTCGGATTACGGCGTGGGGGACGCCGAGGATGGCGGTGGGCATCCAGCGCATGCTTTCTTTGACGCAGCTGCGGATGTAGGGGAGGTGCGGTAAGTCGGAGAGGGTGGGGAGGCGGGGGCCGCAGATCGTGTCGAGTTCTGAACGGGCGGTGGCGGAGACGGAGGGGAAGAGGATCATTGCTTGGATGACTTTACGGGGGGTTAGTTGCAATGACTTTTGGGCGTAGAGGGGGAGGTTCGCTTACAGCCGATGAGGGTCGCGGATGTAGTATCTGATCCTGCTTCTAGCAACGAACCGCTCACGTATCCGGCGAGCTCATCTGAGAAGTTCTCCTCGTCTTGTGCGCGTACGAGGTCGACGCAGAAGCAGGGTTTGGCTGTCCCGTTTTTGATTGCTTTCTTCACGTTTAGCCAGTGGCCGACGTATAGTTCACTCTCTTTTTCGTGCAGCTCCTTTGCGTATTTCCGTAGGGGAAGCGCGAAGTCGGGTAATGAGCGCAGGATTGGGAAGAGGTCGACTAGTTTTGCTGTAGTCTCACCCATGAGTTCGGAGAACTTCTCGAAGCCCTGTGGTGGTGTTAGAGGGACAATAGATTCCAGAGGTTCGACCTACCGAGTAAAGCTGTTTTAACTTGGGGTCGTCGATGCTTGTAGTGCGGAACCCGAAGATCATCTGCGTGGTCAAAGAGTTGGTATAACGACGAATGTGGTCGATGAAGAGATCTGGACTCTCCAAGAAGCCAACGAGCATCGCTTTATTCTCCAGCTCTTGATATGGCACATATGTACGCGCCGCCTTGACATTGAGGTTGAGATGAACAATCTTCCGAATCATGCGCCATGTATCGCCGTACGGCTACCGCTGTCAGCTCAATCACCATTCGAAAGTGTTGGAGAAGCTTACCATAAGCAACATACGACACCTACCGCTCACAATCTGCCCAAGATACATATCCGGGCGCGACGAATAAATCCCACTCCGTTTATCAAGCAGGTCCTTCACAGCCTGGTCCGACGACAACACGACCATGACTTTCGTCCCGAGGATGAGCGAATAGACGGGCCCGTATTCTTCGGCCCACTTTTGGAATTGTAGATGCGGCTTTTCTTTGGGCATTAGATGCAGGTTTCCTATGATGGGGAGTGTCGGTGGGCCTGGGGGGTAGTTGGAGGGCCTGCGGCCGACGTTGCGGAGGCTGTAGGCTGCTACTGCTACCAGGGCAGTTAGTAGGGCGTAGAGTGCGAGGGACATGATGATGTGAAGAAGTGTTGAATGATTGCAGAGTGTTCTAAAACTGCCGTAGGAATCGAACGGCAAGGGACCTTCCACGCCAGAGCAACCTTCCTCCGAGGGGCTTGTCTTATATTCCAACCCATCTCATCGGTCAAGCATCTTTTCCATGCAAAGGCCAGCATCAGATAACACTCCGCATACCAAGCTCTTTCCAATTCGCTCATCTTGTCTCCCGTCGAACGAGGCTGCAGTCATCAACATGGTAATTTACAGGGGCCGGGGAGATTCTGCATCCACTGAACGGTTGGGGTAGTTAGCCGAGACCCACCACTGTAGCGCTGACATGTACCCTGACCTTGGATATACCTTTCCAGCGAGATGCTGCGAACCTCTTGTATATGCCTCCATGCTCGCGCGGGGCATGCATATGCGGTGCTTGGCCGGATGGAGACTTTCTGTCGATGATCTGGGTATGCTGCAGCTCGACCAAAACTCTTTACTTTGTTACCCTTTTACTCGTCAATCCCCAATATCTCATCAAGAAAGAAGCAGCTTATTGAAATGCGGTATTACATTTATTGTATCAAACAGATTCAATCATCTAGACAGGAAATATGTCATAACCAGAAGACTGCGGCTGATGGACGATAAGGAGGAAGGAAAATGTATGCACTATACACAAGACGACGAGGGGGAGTATGCAACCCGTCTCACCCCTGTTCCCCAGTACACAAAACTACAAGACTACAGGTATCGAACTAAACGCCAAGGATAGACACGGACAGACAGACATGAGAAAGGGCATAAGACGGTAAAAGAAAATATGGGTAATGCGATTATAACGCGATCAAGCCCATGATGGCGACAATGATGGCGAAGACGGATCCTCCCATGCGTCCGAGGCCGGGCTGAATGACGGATCCAGCACCAGTGCTGCCAGTTGTACCTTGAACGAACTGGCCTTCAGCGGTGGCGCCGCTTCCAGACGAACCTGTCTCTTGCGCAGGCGAGTTTGGTTGTACGGCAGCTGATGTCTCGGCGACTTCTCGTCCAGCGCCACCTCCAGGGTTACCGCCAGGTACCATGGCAACGTCGGTGGCCTTGGAATCGTCGTCTTTGTCCTTGGCCTCTCCTGGGTTCTCGCCGGTGCCCATGAGCGAGCCCAGAACGACTAAATCGTCTGTGATGGCGACGGTGTTGTTAGTACCGGCTTCATCCGTGTACTTGTAGGTCTTCTTTCCCTTGATCTGCGCACCCTCCGGTGGGTCGTAGCACTCGACGGTGACTTCCGAGAAGCGGGCGGCGTAGTATCCGTTGGTCATGTAGGGCGAGTTCCAGTCGATCTCTCCGCCCGCCCACTCAATGGTACCCTTTTCGTTCGAAGGCAGACCGGCAGGCCAGAGAGAAAGCATGATGCGCGCGGGTGTCTGGGGGTAGTCGAAGCGGCCGGATGTCTTGTTCCATGTGTCGGAGCGCTCGAGTCTGCGTTGTTCCTTGCCGTTGATGGACCATATCAGGGTGTCTTCCTTCCAGTCAACGCAGTATTCGTGCATGGTCTCGACCGTGTTCGCGTCCGGTACAGTAAGGTTCTCGCCGTTGGTGTCTGGAATCGTGTTAGTCAGGTGCGCGGGTGGTTTGGCCAGAATATCGGATTACTTACACACTGTGACACCCTGCGAGTAGAAGTTGGACTGCACGTGGCTTGTGTCCACGCCAACCCACTCAAAGTCGATCTCGTCCTTAACATCCGACATAAGAATGAAGGCAGTGACGACACCCTTGCCCTGTGCCGTGGAAAGCTTGGAGCAGATCTTGCCATACCAAACGTAGTAGGTAGATGCCAGTAGTGTCCCGACTGTCCCTTGCGCCATAGTCAAGAGCGTTGACTTCTCCTTGGTCTTGGGGTCTGTGTATATGGTGGGCATGCCCTGCGACTGCCAGTTGATCTTGGAGGCATCGCCGAGGTACTTGTCGATGGTCTGCACGTCGTCGAGGTTGTCTAGTGTGTATTTTCCGGATTTGCATACGGGACCGGGAACGCACGAGTCGAAGCTGTGTGACATGAGGGGATCGCAGCCACCGAGGCAGAAAGCGCCGACACCGCAGTCGCCATATACTGCGAATTTGTTAGCACCAACCCCGATGCGATGGAATTTTGCGACACGTACGAGAGCAGCAGGGCGTGTCCTGAGGACAGTGGCTATCCTTTGTGCATTTTGCTCCGGCAAGCGCTGTGCCTACCAGTACTGTCGCCGTAAAGGCGGCGGACAGCAGACTTCGTACCATGATGTCGGACCGTTTGCGGGATCGTCGATGTCGTGTAAGCACCTTATCGTCGGCAAGTGGAGTAGCGCAGCGATCAAGATGATGGTATCACGACCTCTCTTGTAGTTATCGTGGGCAGGTACGCTCGATGGTTGGATGAAACAGCAGGTGTAGGGGCCCGGGCGGTTGTGCGGCGAGCAAGGGAAGGGCGCACGCGTGAAATTCGTGGTTTGTGTTCCCCTGAGATGGTACGGCGAAGAAGTTTCGAAAAGCGAATGTCTTTAGGAAACGAAAGTTGATTAAGCTGCCGGGTTAGTAAAGCGAAGGTGGTCCCGAAGGATAAGAAAGGGCACTGAGGGAGTGAATCGAGGCAGGAGCGAGCGGCGACACTCTCTTTGAAGAAGGGGTGGCCCGCCGCGCAGATACGGGGCACCATCCGCCTACGATCACGCTAGGCCGTAAATCACGGAAGGGCTAGCCGTTTGTGTCGCGTGTTAAATGCATCCGCGGCAACGTCGCACTTCATACATTGTTTCCGGCGTCCTCGTGAGCATTTCCATCGCGCTTCAACTCTTGAAACAGCTGTGAAGCCCACCCCCGAAAAGAAAAGTTGACAGCTAACATCGTCCCTGCATGGCCTGCCCTGACGATCCTGGTGTTGCGCTCCGCTATCGCCACCCTGCATCTATCGATAACCGCTAGTGTCTATTCTTGGTTCACCGTGCAGGACCCTTCGCGCCCCACGTGCTTGCTTGCCCCATCGTCTCCCTGGACAATTGTCGTCATACTGCACTCGCGAGTTTGCTTCACAGATCGAAATGCTGTCGTACATTGCGCTGTCGCCGGTATCGTGGAACGCTGCTGATGTTTGCGGGGTTGTGGACCCGTTGACGCAGGTCCGGGGCAGGCGGCAGGACACGAGCACGTACACGTCGCCTGACCATCGCTATTTGCATCATGATTAGGTTACATCCACCAGCCGACAAAGAGCCGCTCAGACCACCCCAAGGCCAACCAGCAGACGGCTACTACACATCACAGCCTCGTGGCGATCTTCAAAGCTTCACGACAGACAATGTGCTAAGAACATCGCGCATACTAGTAGTATTGAACATTTTTGCGTTCTGACATCGTGTGATCAAACTAGCACCGTCTGTCCACGTCAATACTTCCAAGCCTTGGTACCCAACAATCGCCAGAGATGAGCGGCAGATTTGTCACAACTCCTCCGATCGACCCCTCCATCCCAAATAAGTAGGCTACCAACGCATCTCGAGTGTCGTCGTGAAAGCGGGACGTAGATTCTGCAGTGGGCGTGCTTGAAGTATGCATCTCCTACTTTTACCACGACACTGAGCGCAGTCAAGCACCCTAGTCCTCTTTCAACTGCGGGCACAACTGCCTGTGGCCATTCTTCCAATCTTTCTTTTGACAACCGTCGGAACAGTAGTGAGCCACTTTGCACGCGGCGCAATGGCTCAAAGCTCCACCATTCTCGTGGCGCTTAGCACTGCACACCCAACACTTGCCTTCCTTCGCATCAAGGTCTACCAGACGAGGCTCGGGCTTGTCCACAGGTGCTTGGGCTTTTGGCTTCGCAGGAGGCGAAGGCGACGGTAGAGAAGCAGGACTATCGGTATTGATGGGCGAAGCAAAGATGACTGGGACTGCGACACGAACGGCGTGTTTGAAGAGATCTTTAGACTGCTTGAGATCTTTGAGGTAGTTTGCGGGGAAGACGCCGTAGCCACAAGTGCACATGTAGCGCTTGTCGGGGTCAGTTGAGATTGGAATGCATCCTGCGACCTTGTACTCGCATGTTGGCTTGTGCTGCCACTGGCGGCATCGTTCGGCAAATCCTGGTAGGAGGTGCTTCCAGAAGGCGATTTCATCTTCCTTCATCTTGATGCCCACGGCGTCGTCCCGACGCGCTGCGAGAACAGCGGCAAGCGGCGCCATGTCCGCGCTCGTATGGAAAGGAATATATGCAGCATCGGCGAGAAGAGTCTGGTTCGATAGATCCATACGGACGGAATCGATATACAGAATGCCGAAGAAGTACGTGGGTGTACAGAATTGGATGATCTTTGCCTGTGCTTGGTCTTCTGCCCCAATAAGGTGTGCATAGATACTTTGTAGGGTCTCCTTCACACCAAGACGTCCAGGCATGGTTGATGATACGTCAGCGAGAGACTTCTGGTAGGCTTTCAACTCTCCTGCCGACATTGTAGCCATGGGAGAAGGATGTAAGCCGATCCACTTGGCAAACGAGGCCTTCTGACCAAGGAGAAGTTTTGGTAGAACATCAGGTTGAACGTAGTGTAGTTGTTCGAGAGAGACCCCATGCCTGTGTTGTGTCAGGGGATGCCAAACAATTCTCTTGACCCACTTACTGCTCATTAAGATGGACGGGCATCATGTTATCTGGGCGTCGAAGGATTGCTGCTCCACTCTGTACGGCAGCCGTGTACTCTATCCATAGCGATTTGCGTGCGATCTTGGTCTTGGCACTGGCCGCATTTGGTGGGAACGGAAGTACTACATCCATTTGATACGTCTTCCCAATGAAGAGCCTTAGGTTGAATGCCGTCGTAGTCTCAAACGAGACGATGGCTCCACTTTGCAGAAGCTCTTTTGCTTTTCCTGAGTTTACAGAGTAATGTACTCGCAGTGATTCGACTTCATCCTTGTTGCTACTGACGAGCGGATGTATGGTAGCGATAACATCGTTTACTAGACCCATGTTAGCAAAAGCCGCGATCGTCGAGATGTCCGACCTACCATCAGTCGCCTTGGACGTGGTAACCTTGTTCACGGAAACGAATCCTTGGAAGCCTGGCCGATATCGCGAAACAAAGACGTCTTTTTGGCCGACAGCAGATCGGTGCACATGCAGAAGCATGCCAAACATGGACATAAACTGCAGCTGAGCTGTTGGAGTACTCTTGAGTCCAAAGGTAACACCACAAGCATCATCTTCCTCTTCGGTGAGGGTGCACGTGGAGACCATAGTGGATACGATCAATGGCGACTTTCCCTTCCAGCCCTTATCATCTTCTTGGACCGTTACTCGATAGCCATTCGTGAACGCGGAACCAGAAGTCTCGATCGTTCCAAAACCCATCTGTATGTCCGTGTAGAGAGCCTCTTTCGGACTGATCGACGAGTTGAGCTGGAGCTGGCATAACGGAGTACCGTGGCCGTTGGCAAGGTCGCCGAACATCGAGACCTTGTCGTGAGGAACGACAAGTGTGACGCACATGAGTGAAGGGATGTCCTCCCATTTGCGGAACAGACCGCCCAATTCGAAGGTTCGTGGATGCCACCACTCAAAAGCATCTTCTACCTTCCATACCCCGAGCATGTCAAGGTAGACGAGAAGAGACTGTAAGTGGTGTGGACCCATGTTCAAGGTTGTGTCGTTCATGATGCCTACTTTGACCAGAGCATGCATGAATGGAGACCAGTCAACGACGTTTGATACCTTGATGTGTTGAAGCAGCGACACAAAGCTTGCTCGAGTGTACAGTTCGTATGCGGTAAGCTTCTTCTTCTTCAATTCTGCATTGCCTAAGCCTAGCATTGAGAACTGATTGGCCCATCCTTCATCCTGGAACATGTTCAGATACATAGACATAAGCAGTCTAGCTAGCTCAGCTGCATCGTAACGAATTCTAGAAGTATCGAATGACTTCCAAAGTACAATGGGTCTAGACGTGGCTGCAGTGAACATACTGATCTTGTTCAAGTCGGGAAAATTGGCGGGGTTCAGGTGCCAAACGGAGGTTGCATTTGTCCAGTATTGAACGGGCTTTAGACCGAGTAGTAGAGCAATTGTTGGAAGGTGTCCACAGAGTAAAGCGCTGGCTGAAGCTGCCATGTCGACTTCAGAGGGTATGAGCATTTCCGTGCGGAGGATGGACGAGGCGTTTTGGCGAATCAATGATGCGGATGCTGCAAGAATGTTGAGACAGCCCACATAGTCGAGCAAGTTGGAAGTGTCAATAACATCGAAGGTTGCCGGTGCAGATCCTCTCTGCTCGTATTCAGGCGCTTCTAAGACTAGTGGGGTGTATGTCGACACGTTGCGATACCAACAAGCTGTGCGTGATTCGCCGTGTGCTTGATGATGCTGAATAACATGACAGAACGCGACAGCGTCAGAGTTAACATATCGAATGGTGAGACACGTGGATGCTTTCCTGAACGCAAAGCACCAGGCAGATAGCTGGTCGAGCGCTATCTGCATGGGCTTTGGCAGCTTTCCCTTTGTCGTCTCACTTGATACGAACAAGGGTGAGTCCGCGGCAAGTCGAGCATACATGGGCGCAAGGTGGAAGCCGGTGAGCGGGCTAGTACCGTAGTGGAGCACAAGGCCACTGCGATGGCAGACGAACATAGGATTGGCGATCGAGAGGTTCTTGGTGACCTTGTTGTCCTCCAAACACGTCCCACTCTTCCAATATGTCTTATAAGCTTTGCCAGCCTCTTCGAAGCCTTGGGTCAAGAGCGGGGCGAATGCGCGAATGCCGTCTCCCACGAACGCCGACCCAGACGTCTTGAGGGCCTGCACCTGCTTGGCAGCCTGCCATTGATCTTTCAGCATATCTTGTGTCACCTTGTACGTCTTGTCTTGAACTGGTTCCAACGCATACAGCTCCCAAAGCTTAGTAACGTTTTCGAGTGTGATGCTGTCACAGAATCGAATGATCGTGCCATATGGACCTTCATTCCAGCTTTTCAACGACTGCGCAAGCTCCAACAGTTTTTTCGACTGAGAGCGCAGAACACCAGCGGATTCGCCATCAATAAAGATGTGATAGTACAGGTTCCATAGCTGTCGCACGCGGGTACCTTTCGTGTCGTCAAGGATGAGTGTCAGGGCGAGTACGTTGCGCGCAATGATCTCCGCTTCAATGTCGCAGCATGTGAAGTCAAGCTTCCTGTCGTCTGCGTCCCGGTCAGTATATGCGGGTACAATGTACAGTCGAGAACAGCACTCACCAGCTCCAGCTCCACTA